GTTATTTCATTTTCAATCTCTATAGTTGTTACCGGAAAAATATAAAAACTATCATGATCTGTTTCATCTAAATAATCTATTGGTGATTTATTTACATTTGGTATGGAACTTGAGAGGTTACTACCGATATTTGCAAAATACTTTGAAAATGAATTAGCTATTTCTTTTGAATCAACTATTTCACAATTATCATCTTTAATTTTAGTTGGAACTAAATGGGCTTTTGGCTTCAGTTGAATAATTTCTTTGATTCCTTTCCATATTAATTTACTATTATGCAAATTTGTATCAAAATAGCTATTATAATATTGACGTTTTGCAATACGCAAAAGATGATTTATTTTATTTCGATAAAATTTAAACCTATTATAATAATACATTGATTTGGTTTTTAGATATTTTTTATGGAGTTTATTTTTTACCTTGATGGAATTCTTAATTCCCCTTGTTATCCAAGGCTTAGACTGAACATTTATCTGTCTTTTAGACAATTGTTTAATTGGTATATGTGAATCTACAATTTGAGTGATTTGCTCATAAAATAAATCAAATAAATCTGAAGGATTTTGGTTATTATATGATAGTAAAGCAGTCCAATTAACTGACTGAACTTCAGCAATCAAAGCTGTGTCATCAAGTCGAGAATAGTCTCTCTTATACATCTTAACATTTGTTGGCAAATTTGAAAATTTATGAATAATTAAAAAATTAGGCAGATGGTCAGAAAGATCATAAATTAAATTACCACTAATGGTAAAATGATCAAGTGAGTTAAAAAATATATTGTCAATTAAAGTTGCAGTATGATCAGTTATTCGTGTTGGTTGCAAAATGTACGGTTGAAAAAATAAGGTGGTTAGCATATTAATAAATTCATCAGTTCCAGAGTGAGAATCAAAATTTAAAATATTTAAATTAAAATCACCCATAATCATACAGTACTTATTCTCCCTGTGGATCCGATCAAGAGTTGAATTCAAATAATCCAAAAATATATTAACATTGGCAGTAGGATGTCGGTAAATAATTCCACATAAAATATTATGCTGGCCATCAATTGGTATCTCAACCCACAAAGCTTCAAATTCCGAGACTGAAACAGTTAATTCCTCACGAACAATACTATTGATAGTCTGCTTAATATAAAATCCCACACCACCAGCGTTTGAATGACTAGGCTGAGACACAAAACGATAGCCATTTAAATCCAGATTTAGCAAAGAACACTCATTAAATCTCAATTTTGTTTCAGACAGGCCAATTATGGAAAATGGGAAATTCAATAGAGATAACATATGTGATAATTTATCATGATTTGCAGACAAACTCCTTATATTGCAATTTAAAGCAGAAAAAGAATTTTTATTCGAAAAACATTCGGCTATATCATTATTATTGCGGAACTCATCAACGCCATAATAATTAAAATTGACATCATGCAACATGTGGCAATCAATATCTGAGTTTGTCAAATGAGAAGCATTTGTAGCTACAGAGCTAGATACAAAACCAGGCAACAAGCTATATTGCTCGATTCTACTTTCCATGCTAGTAGACATTACCTCAATATTCAATTAAATAAACACTTATCTAATAGATAATAGATAATAGCACAACAATTCACTGGTAAATATCACTCCCTCAAATGCTGAATGTCACGCTGATTTTTAATGTTGATGACAGGACTAAGTTCATTTCTTCGTAAATATATATTCCCATTGTACGTCCAAATGAATTTATATTGGTATTCCTTCTTCAAATTGTAAGCCATATTGAACAAAACTTTATTTCTTTTGGTCAGACTTTCCATAATAAAAATTTTCTGCTCGATTACATATCCAAGATCTTTTGTGGTTAATCTATTAAGCTTCTTACGAGCTTTATATAATTTCTCTTTCGTCTCACGCCGTGTAAATTTCACAATAATTGGTGGTGAATTCTTGCTTTTCCCTTTATAAGAAACGTTGGATTTCAGCCGATGACTTGTGGATATATCTATATCCGTAATATCAACATCGATCGCCTTTGCAATGTCCTTTATAATACTATTAGTATTTTCCTGATCATTCAAGCATGGTATCCCACGGATTTCGAGACATTCACATCTGATATATTGCTCCATGTCGTCTTGCGATTTCATTATTTCTTGCAATTTGTTTGTAGCTCTTTGAAGTTTATTATTCAGAGCTTTATTTTCATTAACAAGAGACTTCTTTTCTTCTTCAAACTTCGACAACTTGACTAATATTTGTTCATATTTTTCATTTATGAACGACATTGAACTGATTGCCTCATCAATTTTCTTATTTAATGGCTCTAATTTTTGGTCAAAAATAGTATTTAAAACTTCTGCTGTGATAACTGACATAATTGAGACAAAATAAACTTCAAATAACATAAATACAACGAAATATTAACGAAATATAACATAAAAAATACAGAGCTTACAAAGCTCCGCCATCTTAGTTGACCACGTGTGATGTTCGTGTGATGTTATATATAAGGCTGCTCCTGACTGGAACGCTTGGAAATTCCGCATCTGAGATTTCAAAAATTTAATAGTATTGTAAATATAGAAAGCGTCAAAATTTGCACTGTCGATAGCTCGCCGTGCGATACAAACATTCCACACTGGACTGGCTGCTTTCCCCTTAAAAATTTATTTTGAGAAATGCAAATTTAGCTTGGGACATGTTAATATAAACAACCTTTCCTGGTGGTCTTCTATTTTATTCTATTTAAAGAAATCAGAAATAAATGATTATTGAATCGGCATAAGTAGTTGACCACCAGGACTACGCTAACCTTACGACGTCTTCTCACTTCTGATGTCCTCTACATCAATCTGTTTTAGTACAAGAATAAATAATGTATCTCTGTCTTCCCAAATAATGTATCTTCATCTTTTCAACTATCGAACTTACAGTTCAACGCAGTATACAATATTATCTATTGGCGCAATTTGAAATTTGTAGCTAATATTTCATTTGACATTGATGTTAGCTTGCATAAGAATAGCTTGATAGTATTATACATATTAATTTAATTATGCTTTTGAGAGAGTTGAATTTCATGCAGCTGGAGTATTTTCCAATGAATCAAAAGATGTCAGCACTTCTGCAGCTTTCTTAATTTTGCCATTGTAGCCAATGAGAGAGACTCTTAATCCATAGTGGCAGGATTCTGTTCATCATGCATGAGTACTAATTCGATTTTGTCGCATCTTGGTCTGGACATGTTTGCATGGAAACGAATCATCGCCATTTATTTAAATTTGTTGATTCACTGACGTTCCTTTGATGTCTGTAAGAAATTTTAAACATATTTTATCCTATATGAAACAATAAATGCCAAATTACACTCACCTACTATCGATATTTTCAATGACAATATATAGCATTTACCCTTTCAGTATCAATTTTCACGGATAATGACAAACCCATCCATCACCATGCACTTTAATTCTAACTTCATACTGTTGTAGCTATATATTAATACTATATTATTGTAAAACTATATCACAACTTTCTTTAAAAATTTATGTACTAACAGTACTATATATTAACTGACATATAATGTAGCTATCGTTTGAATTATTTGTTGTATAACAGCATAGCCTTAGCTTGATAACAGCATAGCCTTAGCTTGATATAACAGCATAGCCTTAGCTTGATCAACACATGTATTTCAACCAACTCGTAAACAAATTATACATGCCATTAAATAGGTACCTAACTAATTAAAATGATAATGACGTCCTAATGACTATTATAACATCTTTCCTTCTTTGAAACTGAGTGTGATCTAAAAATTAAAACAACTATAACCTATAAGTTAAATATATAAATAATAAAGGTCTGTGTCGTAATGACCCCTGTGGTAATACTTGGCTTGTTGTCTTTTTCGCTCCGCTAGTTTCTCTACCGTGGTATCGCTGTCAATCAATTGTGGTTGTAGCAGCTTCACTGTTGTTGGCAACAAAGTTCTCGCCCGCCTATTCAACAGGCGCTGGGCTGGACTGATCTTCAGGCTCGCGGAGGGGGTATTTCGATGGTCAAGAACCGCCAAAAACGCGTCTGACTTTGCTTTCTTCGACTTTCTTAGGATTTTCTTAGCTTCTTTTACAACACTTTCGGCTTTACCATTCACTTGACTGTGGTATGGACTACAGGTGACATGCTCGAAGTCCCATCCCTTAGTAAATATCTGGAAATCGTGTGCCACGAACTGCGGGCCATTGTCCGTTATCACCTGTTCAGGTATGCCGTGTCTCGCAAAATGACTCTTGATTTTTCTAATGACGTGTACTGAGGAGATATTCTTCAAGTGATCCAGCTCAAAGAAATCACTAAAATAATCAGTGATAACTAGATAGTATTGTCTCTCTAGTTCAAATAAGTCTATTCCTACACGTTGCCAGGGTCGATTTGGCACTTCATGACTACATAAAGTTTGCTTTGGCCGACTTCTCTCATACTCACGACAGGCTTCGCAGGTTGACACGTGGTCCTTGATACCGTTGGACATACCAGGCCAGTAAAGGCACTCTACCTCGATTAAGGCAACCATTTACTCCCAGGTGGGAGTTGTGGACTTTTCCCAGCATCTTACTTCTCATTGCTTGCGGGATAACCACTCTTTCTCCTCTAAACATTAGATCATCTTGGATCGACATCTCGTCTCGGATGTTGAAGTAGGGTGCCACAACATTTGGAAGATCTTCTTTTTGCTCTGGCCACCCTTGCCGAATCACCATCGTCAAGACTTGGAGGGACTCGTCGCTTTTTGTTTCTCGTTGTATTTCCTTTAACCGTTCGTCGGAAATTGGCAGGTACTTCATCATGTTGATGGTCTCGAACTCTGGACCACTTTTCTCATCACCTGGGATGCTCGCTCTGGACAACGTATCGGCAAGGAACATGTTGCTTACTTTCTCATACTTCACTTCGATGTCATACTTGTGGAGACGGATCGTCATACCCTTGCAGTCTCTTGGGTGCTCAGTGAAGAGGTTTCTTCAAAATACTTTCTAGAGGTTTATGATCACTGTGGACGGTAACTTTTCTGCCAAACGTGTAGTCGTTAAATTTCTCGACCGCATAGACGATGGACAATATTTCCTTCTGTATCTGAGCATATCTTGTTTCTGTCTCAGATAGCGTTCGGCTGGCATATGCAATCGGATGACCATTCTGCATTAGGGCCACTCCCAAACCAGTCTGACTGCTATCACATTGGATCTCAAGACTTTCTGATGGCTTATAGTACGCGAGGACTGGGGTCATTGCAATTAAATGCTTCACTTCATTCCATGCTTTCTCGTGTATTTCCAACCAGCACCACGCCAACTCTTTGTGTGCTAGATCACGCAAGGGCTTCATAACCTCCAACAGGTTGGGTAGGAAACGACTTAGGTAATTCACCATTCTGTTCAAACGTAAGATTTCTTCAGGAGTGGTGGGTTGTGGCATCTGCATAATCACCTTCACTTTACCTAGGTCAACTTTCAAACCTTCATTGGTGAGAAGATGACCATGGAATGAGACCTCTTTACACTTGAACTCCAATTTGTCCTTGGTCAACTTAATGCTCTTTTCTTTACACCGTTCCAGTAGCCTCTCCAAGTTCTTGTTGTGGTCTTTCTCGTCGGTACCGTAGACAAGGATGTCATCTGCGATACACCTCACTCCTTCCAGTCCCACGAGCTCTTGGTTGAGACGTTTCTGGAAAATCTCACTGGACACGTTTAAACCAAAGGGCAGGCGCAACCACCAGAATCTTCCGTAGGGGGTAGAAAACGTTCTTCGTCTAATTCTAGATGCCAAAATGCGGACGACAAGTCAACTTTGGAAATACACGAGCCTCTGATAAATCAGGTAGTAAATCATCTATGACAGGAATTTGATATCACTCTCTCTCCAGGGCTTCGTTCAGTGGCTTTGGATCTATGCATACACACAATGCACCAGATTTCTTCACGGCCACGACAATTTGACTCACCCACTCGGTTGGTTCTTCGACAGGTGTGATAACTCCCAGTCTCTCTAATCATTGTAACTCGACTATAAATTGATCTCTCACTGACATGGGGATTTTCCGTGCCGGTAGTACGACTGGTTTGTGATTTGGGTCTACTTCTAGATGGACTATTCCTGGCAATCATCCCAAATCGTCGTTAAAAACTTCAGCATGTTTGTGCACCACTTCCGTTTTCTTACAAAACACAGTACTAATGAAGTTCTCTTTGTGAATCGTCAACAGCCTCATCTCCTCTGTGGTCTTCAAACCTAACAACAGAGTCAGGTCATCCTTGACGATCAACAACTTTACGTCATACTTCTGATTTCTTAAATTAACCACTCGAATGACGCATGTTCCCAAAGGTTTCACTTTAGTACCGTTCCACATGACTAGTGTTCTATCACATGGAGAAATCTTTTCCTTTTCCACATACTTGTATGGAAGTATGTTCGCGCTGGCGCCACAGTTGACTTGGAAATATACATGAACGTTGTTGACCAACATCTTCGCAAATACCGCTTTCTCTTTCATAGCTTGAATTCTCACGACGCTAATTTCTTCCTCCTCACTTTCTATGCAGTATATGGCGGACTTTCGACATCTCTTGGCAAAATGATTCTTTCTTTTGCACTTGTTGCAGGTTTTTCCCCAGGCTGGACACTTTCACTTATCTGGCAAGTGCTCAAAGCCGCAAAATTTACATGATATTTTCTTCTCGACTGACTTTGTTTTCCTTTCATTGTCCTCTGAACCATCCGATTCTGATTCCTCGTACTGCCGCCTTCTTTGTGTCTTGATCTTATTAGCATAGTCATTAGATGTTTCACTCATTGACTTCATTTGCATTTCAGTAATCTCTTCACTTCGACACATATCAATGCATTTACTCAGAGTCAAATCTTGCATTCTAAGCAGCTTTTTCGTTGTTCATTTTTTATCCCGAGAACTACACGATCCCATATGAGGCTATCTCGTAAACAGTCGCAAAAGTTACATGTCTTCGCCAATGTCTTCAGCTAAGCAACATAGCTATTGATTGATTCGCCTTGTAGTTTATCTCGTTTGTTAAACACATATCGCTTGAATGTCTCATTAACTTCTCCAATACAATGGGCTTCAAGTTTTGCCATTACCACTTTCCAGTCGCTTGAGTTTTTGTGTTCGTTGTATCCAAATGTTTTGATAACTTTTAGGTCTTCATCTCCAAGTGAGTGCTTGAACATTGCCAACTGAAATGCAGGACTCTCATTCTCTAGACGCGAGATTATGAAGTAATTGTTGTATTTTTCTTTCCACAACTTAAAGTTCTCGACCACTTCGCCGCTATTTCTTAGGTCTAAAGGTTGTGGAGGAGAAATATTGTGACTCAAATAAACTGCAGGCTGTCCGACGGCTTGTTCAGCTTCCTGCTCCATACTGTTATTCTTGTAGTTACACTGCCACCATGTTATAACAGCATAGCCTTAGCTTGATCAACACAAAAGCTTCTTAAAGTTTCTTAAAGGCTCCTGGCTTTATAGTGTTTAACTGACGTTATACTGTATATTTTATCTTAACTATGAAGTAGGGGGAAATTTTTAAATAAATAAAATCAATAAAAAATAAAAAGTATAATCGGCAGAATTGACTGTCACAGATAGACTTCAATCAGGTAATTAAAACAGCAGATTTCAAAAATCTATGAGAATTGGTCGATAGAAATATTAGGAAAATATAGGGAAAGTTTATACTTATTTGATTAATTTAATTACTAGGTATGCCATATAGATTATAGTTGAGTTGAATAAAATGGAATGGGCCAATGACCTATGCAATTTGTAATTTCATAGGTCATTGGCCCTCGCTTTAAGGAAAAACAGTTTTAGAACATTTTATTATAAAATATGTACAGTGTGAAAGTCAGTAATTGATAAATCGTAAATGGAAAGTCATAAATGGATAAATTTCCTTATCAAGGAAAGGTTGCTAAAGCTAATTAGATCATGCAAGCCGGGAAAATTTTTTAAACCCTTTCGTAGTTTCATATCAACTAGAGGCCAAGTCGTGTTGATGCTGTGTTTAATGATAGCATTGCATTGTGCAACCCTTTCAAGTGGCTAAAGTTTTATTATCTATATAAATTTAATATTATAAGTGGTGAATCCTTAATAAAGTGTCTCAATAAATCAGTCGTCATATATAAGGGGATCATTCTTGTGGGATATTTGTGACGTTAAGTCTTTTTTTGTAGAATTTATTTGCTCTACATTTGCTGTTAATCGCAGATTTTACGCCTTTCCAGACATCCTCTTCATCTTCTCTGCATTTCAAAACAAAGCGCATGAATAAGAATACTGTAAAATTAATATAATGAAATATGTCAACTTTTTTCAAGTCACTCCCCATGTCTATAAATTTATAACCTATTTAATAGCAATTAATAGAGGGTGTATAAAAAAGCATGCCAATTGCATTTTTTACTTGTTGCCTAAATGTATTTTTCATAATCATAAAGATTTATCTTTATCTGTAGAAAGAGCAAATACTAATCCCATAAAAATCATTTATTGAAAGTGCACTATATATTTTCACCATTGAGAATTGGGTCTAAAACTATTGAAAATGCGCCGTTTTAATTATAGGCACAGAGGTGAAAATATGCGATTTCGAAAAACACTTTTTGTTGAACTCGTATTTGCTTAATTGTTCTCTTTAACTCATTAACTGGCAATGCGCCCGGATGCGCCCTGAGATTGGCAAGTGGGTAACTGGCAATGCGCCCGCATACGCCCTCAAATGACACCTCAACTTGCGGGCATGATATTTGAGCACGTGTTTATCGGGTTGCCTAGCAACGGATACGAAAATAGAACGCGAAATTCGAGCTTTTCAACGGTGTATCATGCAAGAAAATCGGCCAAAAACTCGCAAAGTTTTTCAAGTTTAAAACCTTAGTTTTTCAAAAATAATGAATAATGGCGTTATTGTTGCAAAGAAGGATTTCACAGCAAGTTTTAAAAGAGAAAAAAGAAGACGTTTTTGAATGATTTACAACGAAAATTTGGCATGAAAGGAAAGCGAATGTATTGACGTTTTGGGCCAAGTTCTTCTGTGAACCTTGCGCGGGATTTTCAGCCAAAAAGATGAGGATTTCTCCAAACTTTATTAAAAATAGAAGTCGGAAATCACAAGAAAGATGAACACGGAACTCAAGTGAGCAGATACGATTTTTTAAAGGGTATTTTTGAGTAGAAATATGCGATCAAACACTCACAAAATTCGACCGCATTAATGTTGGTTGAATCTAGTTTAAAGTTATCTTTTTAGACGAACTGTTTATGCAAATTTGGGTGCAATTTTGACTGTTTTCGTGACCCCATTGTTGGTATTCTTGTTCAAGTTGTTATTTTAGCTAAAGTATATTTCAAACGACACTTACTGTGTGCGTATGTGATCTTTTTTACCTTTTTGGCAAGAATACTTCGAGTATTAAATTACACTAAATAAGTAGGATATTCCAAAATCACTGTTATATCTATTTTCATCAATTTAGTGTTAAAATGACAACTCGTTTCAGACGTATTGTGGTTTAAAATAAGTGTATTGAATAAACGCGCTTGCTTGCCGCGTGCGAATATTCAAAAAGTCCGCACTTGAGTTGTAAAGCTTTCAAAATGCATTTTTACTGTTTTTTATGTCCCCTATAAAACTTTAAATCGATAGAGCAGATAATAATGTTGATGCAACATCATTTTCTAGTAACTACACGTTGAATCAGAAGGAAAAGTTATCAAAATAGGTCGCGACGGTGGTTTGCAAAATGTTGCTTCCCTCTGAATGGCTTCCTTTGTGGGAAGCCATGAAATTGAAGTCCTAACAAAAACTAACCTTAGCAGTTCTTTTGGGCCCATTGCTCACTTATTTATCATGAAATCGCTTCACTAGAACATTTTTAATAATGTCTATGGGAAACTTTGTAATTTTCTGAACTAAAGGTTTATGGTTTTGAGGTGTTTATTTTATAAAATAGCACGCGCGACAAAATGGCACTAATGTGGTTTCTCACGTCTGACAAACAACCAAAGATGAAATTTCTTATTTCACCCTTTTATAGCTATGTGGAATACCTGAAAATTAGGTTACCTTTTTCATGTGAGGATATAGATAACATTTCTACACAATAGTCCTTATGAAGGCTTATTTCAAACTCAAAAAAGGAGATTGTTTTTCAGAGCCAGACTTCAAAAGAAACCGCCTGTCTGACATTTTATAGCAGCCTACATTGGCGCGCAAAATAACTTTGGCTTTTAAACCGTTGTTTTCCCAATAGAAGCATGAAAATATTGAGCTAAAAGTCTTACCTGGCATGTGTTTAAAGTGTTTTTCTCTTTATGATGCTTTTCAGTGCTTTGAATACAGAAGTGAACAGCTTTTAGTTTTGTCACCGCAGAGTGCCTTTCAAAATGTCGGCTGTCATTGTCTGTGTTAAAAACACCTCAGAAAATTCCCATTTTCTCACCTTCCCATCCTTGGTTTATATTAAAATAAATAATTTTAAGCACTATGTGTCTTTTTAAATATATTCGAAGCAATCAAAAAACTTTAAAGATGTACAAACACTGTGTTTTGGCTTGCACACTTTGTTGAACTTGAACACTTAGTTACTGTTATAAATTTCATGTTGTAAACAAGATGCCCCAAAAAAGCAAAGAAGTATTTTTAAATTTTTTGATAATTTCATAATTCATATCCCAAAAGATGAAAATTGGTTGTAATATAGATATGTATTAATTTAGTAAATGATTTTTTTTTTGTTTTTATATAAATTTATGGAGATATTGCCCGTTTAGGTGATGAGTGACATGGAAAACAAAGTGTCACTGCTTTATAAATAAAAATACTGACTGAAAAAACTAATGATATATATAGGTATGCAAGGTCATCTAAACTAAATTTGGTCAATCATATATCATTCATGTTTGGTTGAAAAGATCAGACTTTTTTATGCAATTGTTTCTGAGATATTGGCATTTTGGTGAAAGCTTGGAATTCAATCATGAATTTGCCATATTGCTTGCCACTTTAGGGGGTGGTAACATTGTAACAGCTTGCCAGTTAATGAGTTAAGATATCCGGAAAAATTTTTGGCTTCATGGAAAATTTTTGTATGTCCGGAAAAAATTTTTGACCCCTAAAATGGCACACTGACCGAAATTTTTTTGGCGACGGTCGCCAAAAAATTTTGAAGTTAAAAAAAAAATTTCAGTTAAGGTGCCCTTGGAGTGCTTCCGCCCCCCTTTGCCCTATTATCGTTCCGGCGTCCCTGAGTATAAAGTACTATTAAAAGTTTGGCTATTGAAATTTGACTGTACATTTAAAACGTGATTCTGTTTACCAAATGCCTTTATAAAGGATGTTTTAACAGTGTTATATACCAAGTAATAACATCGAACCGTATATGATTTATACTAATACCTAGCAAGTCTAATGCCTGTAATATATACAGGATACTAAAAGAACAAGGATGGATATTTAATAAAAACTTTGTCAAAGTGTTCATAACAACAGCGCTTTATTGGACAATCACTGAATAAAACAGCTTGGTTTCTCTTTGATAGGAGATTTGTCAGACAGAATTCTGAAGCAACATGGAGAGATGCTTCCAAAAGAGCAAATCATCGACTGGTTCATTCAATTATGTTTGGCTCTTAAGTATATACACGGAATGAACATCTTACATAGAGGTATACTTGCCATATGAAAACATCCGGCTATTATATTTTGGCCCAAATACCTATAGGAAACTTTTTCCTATTAGGTTTAACCCATGCAATGTGCCCCATTACGCCCCAAGACGTGGACGTTTCACTTGTTTTTTTTCAGGTAGTTGAATCTAATTTAATTTTTCCTCGTTCAGATATCAAGTGCCAAAACATTTTCATATCGAAAGAGAATGTCATAAAACTCGGTGATTTTGGCATTGCGTGTGTTCTCCAGAATACCCTCGACCATGCTCAAACTGTCATTGGAACACCTTATTATCTTTCACCTGAAATATGTCACCGACAACCGTATCCTTGACCATGTTGTAGATATAACTCCAATTGTCGGTCTGTAAAAATATTTCCTTCACGAGGGGGGACTCGGGGACCGCAGGCCCCCAGTTCAAAAGGGGCCTTAAAAGCAGGGAAGGCCTTTGAAATTTCTTGATACAAGTTTGCTTAAATGAGAATAGAAATCCTGGCTAGGTTAGTGCTGCAAAACGCCCAGCTGGAAAAGTTTACCTCGGACCTTTCGTGTTGCCCTGTTTCCTCCATATACCTGCTGAAGCATTGTTTCTTGTTTTTTCCTGGTAACAAATAGTGTATAGTGTCGTTCTTAACTAAATGAAGATATAATCACAAGAGTGACATTTGGGCTATGGGTTGTGTTCTGTATGAGATGATCACATTGCGACATCCGTTTGAATCGACAGACTTTGCACAATTGGTTTTAAAAATACTTCATGGTGACTTTACACCAATACCAGAGTAAGATATGAAGGAATTGTCCATGTATTAAAATTGCCCAGTATATATACTGAGATGGTAAATTTTGTTTTATCTATAAAGGAAGGTGGCAGAAAATGGATTTTGAAAGGTAAAGAACTCTATGTTTGTGTTGGAAAATGACTGTTCTTTTTTCTGTAGAAATCATGGAACACTCTTGCAAGATTTGGTCACAGTCCTGCTTCGTGATGACCCTTGTGAACGACCCTCTGCCAAACAAATTCTGCATATCCCAGCAATGCAAGCGTACGTCAACAAAGTGTTAGCCCGAGGGAGAACGCAGCGCTCGGAAAGCGTGAGTTGTAGCGAGGGACAGAGTGTTAGAAAAGGCAATGTGTGGCGAAAACCTGATGTGATCCCATCTTCAGAAAATATGAGTCAAGAGAAATCAAAAAGTGAATGTGATGTACATGCTGAAGAAAAATCCAGTAAGTTTATTTTTTAGTTGCATGTTTGGGTCGTGGTTGTATCAGCTAGATACAACCATGTCCATAGGGACTGATGACCGGGTTGGTTAGGGTTAGGCCTGGCCCTAAGTTGGAACTAGCCCCTAAGTTAGAGTTAGGCGTAAAAAAAAACCCCTTTGGTTCCGGTTTCATATATATAGCGGGTCGGTAGGTTGGAAATAATTTTTTTTTTTAATATTTTTTTCATGGTTTTTTCAATAATTAGTGTGACAACAGATGCCATTTTGCCAGCATCCCGCAACCACCCGGAGAAAATAGGGTCGCATGGTCAATCGCGTTGAAAAAATAATAGGGCCAAAAAAAATATGTGGGTTTCCGGTTTCTTCTTATAAAAACTTAGGTAGGGTAGGTCGGTTTTAACTTCTTTTTTTTAAACTTTTTTTTTTAATTTTCCGAACAAGCGGACGCCATTTTGTTTAGTCAGTGCTTCCACATCCAAAAATAAATTTCCCTAATATTGCTTCAAATTTCAATTTTCCACAAACTTTTTCCTCTAAGTGGAAACACTTACAAGCATAAATCCAATAAAAAAGTTAGGGTCGGGATTTCAACATCCAAAGGCTAGGTAGGGTCGGGAAACCGGAAACCCACATATTTTTTTTTTTGCCTAGGGTCGGCAGAAAAAAATAGGGTCGGTTGGGAACCGGAACCACAGGTATTTTTTTTACGCCTTAGCTCCTAACAGAACCTTCCACCCTATAGGCACTGTGCTCTGTGATCAGGTATGATCATAAGGTGACAGCCAGAGGCACCCTTAGAAAGCCTTCAACTCAATTAGGTTCCATTCTCCACAATACAGCTTAACTAAGGGCCCACAGTAATTGCGGGTTTACACTGTTGTGGTGTCCCTGCCATTTTTGTCCATGTTTATTGTCTAGATGTCTATTTGCTGTTCTGTTAAGTGTTTTTGGCAAAGTTTAATAAATAAATAAATAAACTCTCGACTGCAGCTTGAGTAAGGATAATTAGCACATCTCCACTTACTTGCTTTTGTGTAAGTATTTTTTACCTCTGTGACTGATCTTCTAATCAATAATAACCATATACAGTTGTATGATAATAATTTCACCTCACATGTGTGAGTCAATGTGAGAGTCAATGTGAGAAGAGTGGTCCAGTTGGACTGTATACCAAACACCATTAGTCTCTTCAGAGACTTACTGGACCTTAATCTCAGGAAGAACAGTTTCCAACTCAGGGTCAGTCGTAGCGGTCTTTGAAATCCTTGAAAGTCTTTAAATTTGAATGCAGGTCTTTAAAAAGTCTTTGAGTTGTGTGAAAAGCGAAGAAAGCGAATTCTTTAGTGAGAATTTGATTATACGATTTCCTAGCTGATAAAAATAAATTGATTGAAGCAAGATTTTCGCAAATATCGACGAAAAAGTGCATTTTAGGATGTGATTTGACGGGACTAATTACCAGGTAAAAATGTTGCGTACACTTGCAATTTTTCGACAGCTGATTGCTCTCAAAGGTCTTTGAAAAGTCTTTGAAAATAGGCAGAAAAAATCTTTGAAAGTCGTTGAATTTTTTTGGTCTTGGAGACTACGAACCCTGCAACTGGTGCAGCTATCCAATATATTAGTTAAATTAACTACTATTTAACTGACACGAGTAGGAGTGTTTTATCAGATGCGCCTCGCGTTTTATGTCTGATAAAATACGACAACGAGTGTTTTGAATAGCTTAAAATACGACTACAAAAGGATACTAATTATGATGAACAATTATATAATCATACTAATTAGGATGAACAATTATATAATCATACTAATTAGGATGAACAATTATATAATCATACTAATTAGGATGAACAATTATATAAAGAATACTAATGAAGATGAGTTTTATCAGATATGAAGTCACTCCACGTGACATATTATGGCTGACATGATTTGCCACAACTGAGGTTTTAGAATTATTAATGAGTATTTACAGTAATTATGCGTCGTCCCTCTCACCACCGATTAACTTGCAAGGGCGATTCTAACACAGTCAAATTTTAACCAAAGTTTTAAATTGTACAAAAGATAACACGATTCGTACAGTCATGAATATATTCTTTAACAAATGAATATATTCTTTAACAAATGAATATCTTCTTTAACAAATGAATATCTTCTTTAAACGAATCCACCGTCTCCAACTTTTCTACTACGTGTGCTTTCGTTTTTTCGTATCCTTGGCTTTGTATTTTCTAAATTTGAGTGAGGATGATCTTTTAGAAACGTTTTCTGTGGACGTATGCTGCGCGAGTACAAACGAGGTAGTGAATGTGGAAACAAGGAAAAGTCCTAGGAAACGAATTTCCTCTGAGGTTTTCCCCGCACAAGATTATCGATCGTTTGATGAACTTAAGAGAATGAAAATTGGGCGAGGAAAAGATTTTGTTCGTGTCGTAGAAAGTGATAAGGAAAATGTAAGCGAATTATTTTGAATTATGTTGTAGATGTAATAATTTATCAGCCTATCTTAAACGAACATTGGCAGCATAATCTGCAGTTCGGGCAGTTTATAATTCCACGTGAGTCGCATGTGACAAGAGTACTTCCTGTTTGACTCTACGCACGTAAAAACGCACAAGTTGTTACAGGTCTGCAAACAAGTTGTTGCAAATCTGTTCACAAGCTGTCAACAAGTTGTGTTCGCATTGTTTGTTCCCAGTTGGTGTAACAAGTTTGGAACAGGCTGGTAACAACTTGTAACAAGCTTGATGGCATTGTCAAATTTGTTACAAGGTTCTAACATGTCTGATACAGTCATGATATAACAAGAATGTGGCAAGGTTGACGACACAAGGTTGTAACGATATTGTTATATCATGAGTGTATCGGACTTGTTGGAACAACCTTGCAACAAGTGTGATAGTATCGACAAGGTTGTTACAAGTTGTTAACAAGTTGTTCCAGACTTGTTGACAATTTGGGACAAGCAGGTGCGAAGACAGCTTGTTGGCAGACTTGCTACAAGATGTGAGATTTGCGAAAATCAAACTTGTGTTTGTGTACCAAACCCACAGGTTTTCTCGCGTGACCTTCTGTAGTAACACTGGAACAATTAAGAGATGGTCCTTACTTGACTTCTAGGGAGAAAAGTTTAGAATTATAATCGTCGAGCTTGCCAATATAAATAAAGTTGAAAATAAGATATAAAAGAATGATTTCATGTCATGTTATTAAGCAAGAACGCCAAATATTTTGTGGTTTCATTCCTACAGCATAATCCCACTCAACATGGTCCTTCGAAACATCGCTCGTACAGTACGAGTATCGTCCGAGAAAGTGCCGAGCGCAATCCGTTGGGTGTGAACCCTATGCGTGTCAAGCGTAGTCCTTTGGCACCGCTGAACAAACTGCAAGTGAGCCTTCATGCGACGTATGACGTCATACCTGATCCGAAACAAGTCCTCCAAGGTACTTACACAAAACAGTACAGCTGTAGGGCTTCTATAGACGATGAAACTGCTAGCCATAGTAGCCAAACAACAGAAACTGTTGCCCATAAGGACACAACGAGCGATAGGCGTGGTAATAACAACAGGTTGTTGGCGAAAAACTCCTCTGATCTAAAAACAGACAACTCGACGAGTCAAACAGAGTTTCTTAAAATTCTTCTTGGCAGCAGTCATATGGTGTTCAGAAATACTTCACCCGAGAGCAGTTTAAAGGAATATGTCCAAGCCATGAGATCAACTCTTGAGGAAAGTCTGGGACTCGAGATGTTCACCGCTCTGCACAAGTATTTATGCTTTGATGTGAAGAAAGATTTGGGCTCTGGGCTGAATATATGTGAGACTTTCTTCCAAGCTTTGGGCCAAGACGGAATTGTGTTTGTGCCGCTAATGTTACAATACATTCAGTGTGAAAAGAATTTAGCAACATAATGAATGAACTTTGTTGAACAGTTGGTCCGCATTTGTTGAATATTTTAATGTCAAATCATGCCAATGTTATAATGTACAGTAGCAAAAATGTAATATGATATAAATAATTTAACATAAATCAGCGTGAATATTATTTGAGGATTAATCAAGTACATTGTCATTGATAATCAAATGAACTGAATCGAGAATTATATTAGACTGAAAACGAACATAACGTTTAATTGCGATATATTTATGTAAAATGATAAATTTTCTATAAAAATTGTAAAATAAACATTAAAGAGAAACATTGATTAATTAAAATATAGAATTATTTTTTTGCTGCATATTGGTAATTTAGATAATTCACCATATAGTTGATATTGGAATAATGTTGATATTGTGTAAATAAACAACGTTTTGATTAAAAATGTGTGTTTTTCTGACTTGCGTTGTTTCTCCATATAGGGCGTTTGCACATGACGTCACAGCCGCCATGTTGGTGTTCCAATTCAAAAGAATTTTAATTAGACTCTTTTGTCTGGAACATCAACATGGCCGCCATGGCTTTTGTTGAGTTGTCCCTGGGGAATGAGTGCAAACACTCTATATGACCTTAATATTACATCACGAATACTTAATTGGCCCGGGAGCCTCGCTTTCCTAAATGAAGACGAATGTACAGGGTGTCCCAAAAACCCCAAACTATTGAAATGACGTATTGATAGAATTTGAATGCATCCGCACTCTGCTGAACGCAAAGTGCGTAAAATATTGACAAGGGTGCATATATTATAAGTATTGACTTATTAAGAAATTAAAATATCTTTGTAAAGCGCACGATTTTCTGCTCTTGGGAAGTTAAAGCAGCTTCTTAAACAGTTTCTTTATACATTAAATTTACTTACGTCGAGCTTTTATGTACTTGTGGATTCAGCAGAGTGCTAAGGCATTCAATTTCTAACAATACGTTATTCTAGTTCAATAGTTTGCCGGGGGTTTTGGGACACCCTGTAGCTATATCTTGAATAATTGACAATCCAATCGCGGTTCAGTTATCAGAATGTTCCATTGTCTTTTCATTGTTTTTAAAATCCATTGTGTTGCCATATATGCATCCAGTCACGATCCAGTGATCAGAATGTTCCACTGATTGTCTTTTCATTAGAAGTTTGTAGACGTTCTCTGGTTTTAAATATTTATTTATTACGAGCTTTCGACTGCCAGCTTGCAGTCTTCAACCCGTTGAATCGAAAGCTCGTAAGAAATAAATATTTAAAAGCAGAGAACGTCTACAAACTTATTATGAATAATCCTGATTTCGCTTCAAACATATTTAAATGTCTTTTCATTGTTTTGAAATTTGAAAATCCCACTATACCCCATGCCATACCATGCCATACAACGCATTCTCCTCCGCAGAGCCACTCGGTCACTCGTTGAAAATTAAGCTATGGGTTAGACGACTAAAGGGAGAGATCTGATTGGCTTCTCAGAGAACTGCTATTTCGCAGAAGTTGAGAGGTTTTTGCTAGGCCCAAATTATTTTATCGAAATATATCAACACGAATACTTCGTTTCTTTGAAATACTTCTTTGTGAAAATTGTTACGGGTGCTAAAGTGTCCCAATTCAAGAATGTGCGCTTTAGAAACTACTGCAAGATTTCTTGCACTTCCGGTTCCGTGTGTCCCGGGCCATGAAGGTCGCGAGAGGCCCTGGGAACGAGGATGCTTGGAACGCAGAAGTAAAATTGACGCCTCGTGCGTGACCCGAGGTCCTGATTTTCGCCTGTGTGTAAATATAACGTCATGAGGGGGCCAAGGGCATCACAACATGTTTTATCGATTTATTGCGTAAGTGGGACAAAGCATTTAAATGCAATACAGGTTTATAATGACTTAATTGCTTCGAAGGAAATTACAAGTCTATTGAGGCAGAAAATGCCGTGCTTTGTTGGCCAATTGTCTCTATTATTGAGGAAGTACTATTAATACCTCGACAGGAAGTCAAATTTGATATGTATGTACTTTAAGTTCGCGTGCCAGGCAAAGATTATCTATAATAGTTTGCACTCATTATTTTTTACATGTTTAATGTGTTGCAGCTGGCTGATGCAAGTGGTTCGACGTTTTACAGACACCTAAACTGCGTAAAACGATACGAGCTAACGCGTGGATTATGTGGAGAGAAGATTGGAAATCACAGAACTTCAATGGATTTCGTGCTGAAAGCCTGATTCACCAGCATGTCTCAAGCAGCGATATTTGAATAAACAAAACTTGGAGTTTTTTTACGGCATCAGTATAAATTCTGACGCGCTGTCTCGGTTAGATCTCGTACAAGGCCGTTCGTAAAATTTGGTCAAGGAAGGCAGCTGGCTTAATTTGAATTAAAGGTAGGCTTTTTAGATAACTTGTTTTTAAATTTTATGCTGTCGTTATGGTTTGTGTATGAACTATGCATGAAAGAGATCACATGTAAAAAACACTTCGATTCTAATGCGTCATTTTCAGGTAGTTGAGACGGATACTACACGCGCTTATTGAAGAATGGTAGTAATGTAATCTTCTCGAACAGTAGCCGGATGATAATAAGAAAGATGCGAATTACTAACTGCGATACACTAAACTACCTGAACAAAATACAAGCAGAAGTTCGCTGTTTCGAGCGCAGCTTTCTAATGTAGAAATGTTCTATGCTTCTATATCAAAAGCTATATTGAAAATATATGATTGTCATAATTTATGGATAATTCTAGAATACAAGTTAAATATGTAGTAGATTTTACTAAAGGGAAATAGTGCGAAAATTTGTAATGCGCAACCGTAGCAATGTGTGCAGGTCAGTCGTTCATGATCGAAACCTGCGACCTTTGGCTTTGGCTTGATGCCTTGCATGATATTCCAGTATCCAAGTTCCGTATCACGTCTAAGTATAGTTTTCCATTCATCCCTTAGCCGGGCTTAGGATATGATTATAGAATATGGTATGACATTACATATAATATAGCACACATGCACGAACATATTTTTTAGTATGTAATGACTGGAAACAGCGAAACGTATGTTAAAAAACGCCAGCCAAGTTTTTATTGACAAACCTTCTGGAGTTTATGGAGAATCTCTGTACGATATATTTAACGATTTCTTCTTTTCTTTAACGAAGTTGATTTATTGATGACAACGATATATATGGTGCTGATTTCCTATAAACTTGTTCATTGTATATATAGGAAAATATATGCTCAATACGGACAGGAATGCGTTCAAAACACCAAGCAGGACGTCCTTTGCCCCCCATTAGAGGTCAATTAGGAATATCACGCCATAGCGCGACGCAAAGCTGGTGCCAAAATAACCAATGTATATGAACAAATACAAAATATCCGGATTTCAATAGAGTTCCCCCTAAGTTCGTTGATCCTGCACGGAAATTGGTTTGTTTATAGTATAATGGTGTGATTTTTTTACGAATATGAAAAGATCATGGAAAAATATAGCACGTGTGCGTGGATTTTCACATAGGCCAGTTCAAGAAATTTGCGCGGGATAAATTCATGTAAACGAACCCCAATAAGTCGGCTCTGAACTGTAGAACTGCAGACTCTTTAAAAACCTGATTTTATTCTTGCCCAAGAGTGGTTCAATTCGTGAATTAAAGTTGCCCTGGATGAAAAAAGGTGCTGAAGTTTTTTTAAACTGAACAAGGCAGTTCTGTAGAGCGCTATAAACGTTATATTGATCCTTGCTTCAATCGATTATTGTCTATTGATTCCGGCAATTTGCCGCTAAAGTGTTGATTTATGACAATGAAAAATGATTCTATTTTAACGGCATGTCACGTCCAAATGCCGATGAAAAGAAATGGAATTTGCGAAACAACAACATGGTCCATATTTATACTGGGCCCATTTATACTGGGCGCCTTTGACAGTGTAGAATTGTTATTTTGGTCCGTTTTATTGTATCAAAGCTACCAGACTATGACTATGTGTTATTCAATTTTAAATTCTTTTCTCGAAAACAGCTAAATTTTATTGTTATGATATAACAAAACAATCTTGCATGCATGCATATTTTCATTTTTCTACTGTTGTTTGTATACGATGTCAAATTCCGTGTAAATTTAAGTTCAAGTGATTTATATTTATAGTAAAGTGTACTCATATAGATAAGGCCCAAGCATGTTATTGTTATGCTTGTTTCCTTGAAAGAAACAGCTGGTTAAGTTATTAAGCGCGGTTTCGAGAAGGAACGATTACGAAATTTACTATAGTCTATAGTCCCAATTCTTAGTGCATGGGTGTCTTCACTATATGCTCGGGCCTTTTGGGCGTTCTCAGTATAATATAGTTTTGTATCGTTATTTTGAGTCAAATGAGTGCATGGTCAGCTAGTGTTCTCAAGTATAAAAATAGGCACACATTTGCGTACAGAACCAGATTGGATATTAAAGTCTGCTGTGACCATGTGAAAATGACAGATGTAAAATATATATAGGCACCAGTTACACGATACCAGATTCACTCAGTACGACATAAACATATGCTGCTCGGGAATAATGTCCTTTCACAAAATCTCCCTAATCCGCGCAAGTTTAAGTGTTAAGTGGTTCCTGAAACCGATACTGCCACAAACGAATTCGGTATCTAATTGTAATTGGGCCCATCGCGTGAGCCTATATCTTCGCTTTTGTTTGCTGTATGTATATTATTGTTGAGACGGTATATTGACAGGCTATTACATTGGTCTTATTGCCAAAACCAATTTAAAACCTCAGTGAATCAGGGTGTGATTGTGTTTACTTGGAATTTGGATCAAAATTTTATCCGGAACTACGTAAATGTCGCGTGTCTGCAAACGTTTGTAATTATAAATTCCGTCATCTCCGTTCTGGGTGGCCGTAGACTATATTATACATCCTGCTTTGACACATTAATTTCTCAAGCTCTATTTTTTGCCACTAAATTGGAGAATGCTTTTCTGACTCTGTCCCTGCTCTGTCTAAGGTGAAGATAACACTGGAAAAAATAGTGAAATTCATACTATGAAATTTGCGATGCACCACTAAATCCATAGTATATCCATACTATTGCCATGTTATATCAACGGTATGAAAATGGCAATTAAGGGACCGGTCATGCATAAAGTAACTGGTAGGGTGGGCTGGAGTGATTTGGGATGGGCCATGGAAAATCTTTGGGCAGTTTCGATGGGCCGCCAAATGTTTTGTATGTCCACGGTTGGGCCACCAAACAAAAACCCATGCATGTCTACTTCAAAAAATAAAGATATTAATAATAAAAGTAAACAAAACTATCCAAATTATCAAATGCAAATGATGCTATTGAAGCCAGTACTTTGTTTATACAACAACAAGAAGTGGTCGAATCACAGCAAATACAACCAAATGGAGAGCAGCTCAGTATCGTAATTGGTGATGATGTGTTGGTCAAGCTTGGTGGAATTATGTATGTCAAAACAGTGCCGGTATATATTTAAATTGGGTGGGTAATGAAAAATGTTTTGTAAGATTAGATGGGCTTTGAAATTTTTATCTACATCCTAAGATGGGTCACCGAACTTATTGGCAAAATTTGTGATTTACCTCTAGCCCACCCTAGCAGTTACTTTATGACCAGTCCCTAATATGAAGATTGGATTTCCATACTTTTCAACTAAGATCCATCATAGTCTTTCGAGACATGGTCTGGAAACTCAGTAAACGTCAAAGCGGTTATAATGAGCTGTGTGTTTATGTTGAGCCGTACCTTACACCGTGCACATCCTTTGTTTTAGGTTTATTAATATTTAAATAGCATGCTTGAATGGCTGAACTGAAACGTTGCTATTGGATGATTCGTTCATTATACCGTGAAACACAATGTGTTCATTGACCGTGCACAAAACTGCATAAACGCGAACAAAAAGATAGAACAAAGACCTTAGCGGAGTTTCCAAACCATGTTTTGAAAGACTATGGATCCATATAACATACCATATTTCCATAGTAAAGATTTGGAAAAAAAATTCAGTGTCAAGATTGCGTGAAAAATAACCAACCAGATTATCCAGTTTCGTAACTAATTGCCATACCATACTAATTACTGGGCGTCATCGTCCCCATGTTGGATGATTTCACAAAAATTTTCTTTGTTGCAATTCTGATTTCATCCTGAACATGAGGAAATCTCTTTTGTAATCGTAATACTTGATGTAATCGGTCACTGAAAAAGCCCCAATGCCTGGGGAGTGAGCTGAACAATGATGCTTTAATGATGCTTTAATGAAATACTCCTAAAACGGTATTATACTACACTAGGAGGAGTTATACTTATATACTGAAAAACTAGATAATATTTATAGTTATTTACAAGAAAGATTTCATGATCACTGTATGACACATGTAATGTCCTTTGAATCCTTAGGGGCCCTTAGGAATTGGTTGCAAAGGATTTTCATACTTTACAGTACCGACATGTACAGCTGGTTCATAATGCAATGTACTATGTTATGTCTCTTGTAATTCTTCACCTCCTGGCTGTCCTTCTCACCTGAGGTTATTTTGACACATGTCTATATTAAAACTTTACATGATATTCGCTGTCCGGTGTCTTATCTTTTAATCCGCTTAGAAAAGGTCTATAGTCTGCTTTGTTTTCACATGTTGTAAATAAAACGAAGAAACGCAGGTTGAAAACCTCGACAGTGATATGCCTAAGACAAGACTAATGTAACTTTACGTTGAGGTCCAGCAAATGCTATATTTGGATATTCTACTGAAATGATATTATTCTTATACTTCCGGAGACAGCAAGCATTATAGTAAGTAAGTATTGCTTTCTAGACTTTTTTGCACACTTGTTTATCAGTACTCAGTAGTCAGGGACGTAAAAATCAGAGTAATGAATAATACAAATGTCAGTCTAATGTAGGAAATGAATATATTATTAAATTCTGAGTTTAATTAGTCAGAGATAAAAAATCACCTAATGAAAACTGTGCCTCATATATAGAGCATCAAATTGTATATAATTGCATGCACGAACAAGCTTTCGTTGGTAGCGATACAACTACCTTAAAAATATAAGGAGTCTTTCGACCTTGCATGACATCCCTACCAACGATAGCTTGTTCATATTGTTGGCACTATATACCCACACTGGCACAGACGGTTCACGATCATATAATTACATATCTCGAACGTGGAGCCTGAGGCCAGTGCATGTAGGTAGCATATTTCGACGTTTCGAGTGACCATCGTTCGTCAGGAGGACCGAGTGTACAGTGACCACAATAAAGATGCTTTGCTAAAGATGCTTTCAACTTTCAAACAAATTTATTGTCTTCGTGGGAAAATTTAATTATATCTCCATATGTTCGTTTGCATATCTTG